GCAAAAACAATGAGTGTTTCTGCAAGGAACAATATATTTTAAAATGAAATGGAGATCTTTTTTAAAGGTTAAAAAACGCATTCTATTTTATGTCTTACAGTGCTTATACTGAGTTCAATATTGTATAACTGTGTTAATTCAGCTATGAACTTAAAAATTTACAGCCACTTTTGAAAGAGATGTATTCTTGCTCTGGAATGTGTTACTGAATATGTCAAAGCTGTAATGAAATGCTTCTTCTAATCATGTGGTTATTAAATTTTAAAAAACTTTTAAAAATAATTTTTCAAAGCATAAAAATTTGCTCCTTAATAATTAATAGATGTGAAAAACATTACCATTGAAATCTACCTGATGACTTTATATCCATGTTCAGATAGCAAAGAGCTCAGAAAGTAACTGACTGTGCTAGCAATAATCAGATATATAGAGATCAGACACGCATGTGCAAACATCTTAGTGTCAATTGCATTAAAAATGAATTTTTCTGTATGAAACTCTATATTTTAATAATGAAATGGAGATCTTTTTTAGAGGTTAAAACCTCATTTAATTTTATGTCTTATATGGTTTATACTGAGCATAATATTATATAACTGTATTCAACTGTAAACCTAAAAATTTACAGCCAATTTTGAAAGAGATGCATCTTAGCTCTGGAAATTGTTATTGAATATGTCAATGCTGTTGTAATGAAATGCTTCTTCTAATTACGTGGTTACTAAATAAATAATTTTTAAAAACGTGACACTAAACAGCAACCTTTTCTTAAACAGCCACTTATGATAAAAATATCTGTATTTGGAGGCAACATCATGTTTCACATATTCTGACACAGTTAGAAAGGAAATTTTAAAACTTGATAATTGTCATTAAACTGAAGTTGTCAAGGTGAAGCCCTGATGTAACAATTAGGTAGACATGGCCAAGATGACATTCACTTCCTGACTGTCATAAAATAAAACCTAGTATATAGTTTTTCTGTTTATAAATTATTTTGTAAGTTTTTATATTATTATTTAATCACTGATGTCATAAAATATTGCTAACATTTATTACATTTGAAAATGATTATGTATGAAATTTTGTTTATAATCTATAAAGTGGGTATGGGAGTACTATTGAGAGCATATAAAAGGTTCTCAATTGTTAAAAGGCAAATAGGTCAATTAGAAAGTCATCATTCACCCAGAACAGATAGGAAAAGCCAATGTTTACATTTTAAAAATACTAAACCTCACCAGTAATAAAAGAAATTAATATTAAACAACATTTTTTGTTTGTTTTAGTGCTTGGGATTGAACCAGGACCTTATATGTGCTAGGCAGGTGTTCTATCAGTGAGCTACTTCCAGAATCTTTTGTGTGTGTTTGGGTGGTGGGGACGGAGTTCAGACAGGGTCTTGTTCTGCTGCCCAGTCTAGTCTCCAGCTCTCTATCCTAATGCCTCTGCCTCCCTAGTACTGAGTTTACAGGTGTTCACCATCACACCCAGCTTTAAAACAATGACCTTTGCCATGATGGTGGTGGCCTATGGTGTTGACTAAAATAAAAAAGACATGTCTATAGGATATTTAATAGGCTTAAAATCTTAGTGTAATTGAACACAGCCTTTGGGAACTGTTATATCTCTTTTGTATATGTTATCAGAACAATTTACTGTTAATATGACTATATAATTTGTTTAAAGAGCATTGCTAGATTTTGAAGTACATTTTAGGGAAAAATAGGGCATGAAGAGCAAATATAGCTTTTTAAAAAATGTATGTGAAATTTTGTCTGTGAGTTTAATCACATAATTAGATAATACTAAATTATCCATTTGATGGAGTAGTGTTTCAAGGCAAAAAGACTATCAGCTCACATTAGCTGTACCTATTTTCCTGAAAAATAGGTACAAAAATACAAAAGTATTTTGTTTTACTCTTTTAATTATAACAGCTGCAGTCATGGATTAGCAAATACATTTTCTTTAAAGCCCCAGCACCTCTGGAATGGTCATTAAGGGTCATTCAGATTTAGATGCACAAATGGAGTCAAATTACTTTTCCATTTTCTTAGATTAACTCTGTGAAAGAAAGTTTTGATCCGTGGAAGAGTTGTAGTCAGTTTCAGAGCACTTCTGATGACAGAGAAGTCAGGGCTTAGAGAAAAATGCATAGGTGTGGTGGTTATGTTCAGATACAGAGAACAAGCTGTCCTTAAGTCTTTCTTGGGCTGTGAAATAAACTCCTCCAGAGAGTGTTAATCATGGCACTTGGGAAATAAAGGCAGGTGGAGACTAAGAAGCTTTATGAACAACACTTACCATTCAGGATGGACCAGACAGGTATCACATCTTTGATTTACAAATGGCTTTATACTACAAGTTTGCTTGTAAATCAGAAGGTAGTTAGAGTTCATTTCCTCATTAAATCTCTAAAATAGGTGATAGGTCTGGAAATGATACAGTGTTTGAGCTAGGAGGGAATGTTTAAAGGGGCACAATAACTTTAAATATGTGAAGTGCTTTTATTTGGATTTTATTTACTGCTACTTATTGGAAACTTAGATGCCACAGTTAAAAGCCACACAGAAACAAATTGCAATATGCTATATATATGAACTTTCTTATTCTTAGAGCAATCCAACACCAGAGATGCTGCTTTCCAAAGCTGTGGGCTCTGGATGGCTCTAAAAATACTTGGGAAAGAGGTTGGTTGGATCAGGTAGTTCTAAAAATCTCTTATGTTACCCTGCCACTGCAGTGTGTCTTAAGGCAGTGACATTGCATTCCAAAGTAAGGACTGGAATCCTGTACCCCTTTACAAAGCTGACTAGCAAAAGAGATGCATAGACAAAAGCCAACTTTCCCGTAGTAAAACTGAGATAGGCCAAAACGCCAAAAGTTTTGGAGTTTTTTTATTTATTTTACTAGCACAGTAAGATTACTTGGATAGAAAATTAATATACACCACAAATGGTAAAGAAATTATGCAGGTTACTAAATATCGCTTCTTGTCCCAGCCTGTTTCAGATGTTCTAGTGCCTGTCTTCACCCAGCTGATACCTTCATAGGTTTATAGCTGACCCTGAGGGATGGGGTTCCCTGTGCCTTGTCTGGGTCCCTCAGTGTAGGGTAGAGCAATTAGATAGAGCCATGGGCATGAGAACTTTTGCTATTAGAATATGAAGTGCATTTTGTTCTTGTGGAGAACTAACTAAATGGTTGCAATTCATAAAGAGCATTACATGTCTCAGGAAATGTAATGGCCTGGAGAACACTGCTTTTATCGGAACTCTGTAGTTGAAGAAAACCAATAAGCCAATCTACAGAGGCCCCCAAGCTCACACTTGAGAAGTGCTGCTTTGTGGTGTCAGGTACACCTAGGAAGCATTGCTACCTAGGGCTGCTGGGCTCCCCTACCCTCTCTCCACAGTGTTCTCCCCTCCTCTGTGTAAAGCTAAGCAGATATTTAAAGAATGTTGGTTAAAGGAATGCCAAGTTATTAATTTATGTCTTCAGGACCCTCTGCTTACCATAAGCTTCATATAACCTATGACCTGTCTTTTTTCTTTTTATATTTCTAGTGTCCATGGAAAACATTGGGGAACAAGGTAAAAGATCATTATTGTTTTGGCTACAACATCTTAAGAACAGTTTAAAAAAGCAAATTGTATCAATTATATTTGATTGGGATTAAGAAACTACTTCTTGATTGTATGGAAATAAGATAAGAATTAAGGGCATCTTATTTCTCAAAATCCTCAAACTAAATTCTGTTGGACTCTTAGCAAAGAACTTTTTTCTGTAATGACCATAATTATGTTAAAGATCTTTGTAGCTCTAGGGTATAGAAATACCAACAATTTCCTGTACTGACTTGGAATACTTCCCATAGCAGAGCTATCTGTATAAGTTATAACAACTGCTATTGACTTTATCATCTCTTTCTAATTCAGGTTCCTTATTGGATAGTTCAAATTTTAATGATTCTACAAATATAAATATCATCATTGTTTAGAAGAATTAAAATTGCTATTGAAAATTTAAATTATCAAACATGTCATATTGTATTTATTTAGTTTTGTGGTACTGGGGATTGAACCTTGGGCCTGGTATGTGGTAGGCAGACACTCTACCACTGAGCTACATCCCCAGCCCTCAAACATGTCATATTCCAAATTGTAACATTTTATTCAACTATTTCTTTCAGAATTAAATTGTGTGCTAATATATTATTCAGACCAAATTATTATTAATGTATATAAAATTGCTTTTAATTTGTGTAATACACAAATTAAAGCCTTTAAAACAACATACAAAGTGTGCTTATATTATCTTGGAAAAATATTCAGGATACTTTTTTATGTGTACAAGTGCTTTCCATGCATATGTATTAGGGTATCCATTCATACAATGCCCACAGAGACCTTAAGAGGGTGTTGGATCCTTTGGAGTTACAGGTAGTTATTAGCTGCCAAGTGGATGCTGGGAACAGAACCCAGGTCATTTTCAAGAGCAGCAGTGCTCTTAACTGCTGAGCCATCTCTCCAACCTCCAGGATGCTTTTCTTAACAATTGTCCTGTATGATAAATCAGGCTTTGGAGCTCCCAAGGGAGGAAATCTCTTGGTCCAGATGGTCCTTGTTTACATGTTGTCATTATAACAAAGAGAGACAGGGTGTCAACTAGAGCTAAGCAAACAAGCAAACAGCTTCTCAGATGGGAACTCCTTTTGCTGCCTATCAGTAAAGCAGAGTTCATAAGACCTAAAAGTTTGAACATTTGACTAATGCTGTGTTTATTTTTATAACTGCCTTATTTTCATAGTTTGGGAAAGGTCTCTATTAACCATTTTACAAACAAATGGATCTGTCTATTGATGGGAGGATTTTATTCATGCATTTAGATTTTTTTGAGATTTTTGTTTATTTGTTTGTTTGATTTTGGTTTTCTGAGATAGGATCTCCCTGTAGCCTCAGCTAGCCTGAAACTCACTGTGTAGACCAGGCTGGCCTTGATCTCACAGAGATCTATCTGCCTGCCTCTGCCTCCCGAGTGCCGGGATTAAAGGCATGTGCCACCACACCTGTCTTATTCATGCATTTAGATCTAATTATACACTTGAAGATGAAAAAAATATCCTCTTGAGTTTAGGTTTATGTGTAATGAGTTGTACTTATTCTAATATGATATAAATTTTTATAATTATAATTATGAATGTGAATATTTTGTGAAAGTCATGATTTGAGTATATTTGCATATTACAATGATGCTTATGTTTCTCTCATTTTAGTTGTGTGCCTGATGGCTTATCATCTTCTTTTTGCAATGTTTGTCTGGTCATACTGGAAAACTATTTTTACATTGCCCATGAATCCTTCAAAAGAAGTAAGTTAAAACATTAGCAAAGTATCCTAAAGATAAAAAACAGTAATACTGATTTCTGAAGAGTGAATTTGCTTCTTTTCATTAGTTGTTGCAAACTTATTGAGTATAGTGATGTTTTGAGTCTAAAAATTCTGTATATGTTAAACACTTAAATTTCACTAAATACTTTTGTATCAACTAGAGTTATTCTATCAAATCTGCTATATATTCTTTTTGTACTTTAGAGTCGGGTATCAAGATGGATCAATGATAGATAGATGATAGATAGACAGATAGACAGAGCTGGTATAGTTCCACACAAATTATACAGTAAAGTCATACTGGTTGGCTCTCAGTCAACAGAAAGAACAACAAATGGCTTATTTCATCATATCAATATTCAAGAACTCTATAACTAGTTCACAGCCTCCACATATCCAGGCTCCTTCTGTCATGGGTGCCTTGATTCCTAGGGTCACTTCTTCGCTGAAGATAGCAGCTTTAATTCCAGACATCATGAATATATTACAGCCAGCAGGCCAGAGAAAGTAGAAAGAGGAGACATAAAGGCTTTTCCCTTTAGTGATATTTTCTGTAAGTTGCTGATGCCATTTTCACTTGCATTTAGATAACTTCATTATGTGACCACATCTACACACACGGAAGGTTGGAATGGCATCATTATTCTCAATAGTCATGCAGCACTATAGAGAAAGGGAAGGGTGGTTACTAGGCGACACTTGGCAACCTCTGCTACAGAGGTTTTAAGTAGAGGATAGTATTCAATTTCAAATATAACATTCTGTCTGTTTCTGGGTCTCTAATTTGGTTGAATGTTCTTGGAGCAAGGAACAGCATCTTACACATTTTTAGATTCTTGGCATTTACTCCAGTACATGCTTATTGAATTTAAATAGACTTTGCTACCCATAATAACAACATATTTTTAGTAGGCCAAGATTTTTAAAAAGAGATATTGCTTTAGATTGTTTCCTAATGAGTTTGATAAATGATGTTGTGTCAAAAAGGCCAGTAAATATGCTATTTGACCTTGAAAAGGGTATTAAAAACCAAACCACAGATCCTTGCACAGAATTAATGGTATATATGAACTATCTTACTTTAAAGATTGTCTTTTGTCCTTGATCCTCCACATCTTTTCCCCTTTCTATGTCTTTTTTCCTTCTCTTACATTATTCTCTTCTTTCTCATACTCTTTCACACTTGTAATTTGGCTTTAGGGTAAGTTTGAAGGAAAATGCTGACTTTTATCACTCAGAATCAGTAAGAGACCCTGTCTCAAGGAAATAAGGTGGGGAGGGATAGAAGAAAACACCCGACATCCCCTCTGACCTCCAAGGGGACACATGGGTGCATGCACCTGCTTAGTCACGTGCATGTGCTTCAAACACACACACACACACACACACACACACACACACACACACAGTGTGGGGATGGGATATGCATATGTCCAGCCAATAATGGGAATCATAGTTTTGAGAAGGGAAGTTTGGGACCAGAATATAACTTTTTCCTTGACGTGCAATGGTTTTATCTGGGGCTACCGGGATTTGCTCCTGTGTCCTTCACATAGTTATAATGGAGTGTTTACTACATACCAGGATCCATCCCTAACCCTATGGAGTTAAATTCTTATGGAAGAGATAGGTGAGGCACAATAACTAAAATGATTTCAAATCATGATCTGTAGCAGAAGGAAAGCCCATGTGGGCTTGAGGGAGTACATACCAAATGACAGGACTGTTAGTGCACCCACCAAATAAGGTACTCAAAGAAGTTGTTTGAGGAGACATTTAGGCAGAAACCAGCAAAATGTAGTGAAGGCACCACCCACAGAGTGAAGAGCCTTCTAGTCAGAGGAAGATGATGGACACAGTCTCCCATTGACCCTGCCGTTTATTGACTATTGCAGCATTGACGCATCATTTAGTATTATGTCCATTATACCAAATGTTTCCAGACAAGACATTTTGTTCCACTAAAACTATCACTACATGTTTGTCAGTGTTTCTTATTTCTTTTGGAACAGTTAATGGCAATTTTAGTTTTGAATTTTAAAGTAGTGTTAGTTATAGGTACGTGATGCCCAAGCTAGCATTTTTAAGTGAGAAAGAAATTGAATTATTGGTTGAATTCTTGAACCTTTATGATTATGTATGCCAGATCAATAAATAGTCTGGATTCTTTTAAAAAATTTTTTAAACTTTATTTTTTATTTTACTTTATGCATATGAGTATATTTCCTGAATGTACGTAAGTGCACCTGCATTTTGCAGTGCCTGCAGAGGTCAGAGAGAGTGTCAGATTCCCCTGGAACTGGAATTATAGACAGTTGTTAGCCACCATGTGGGTGCTGGGAATTGAACCCAGGTCCTCTGCAAGAGCAGCCAGTGCTCTTAGCCACTGAGCAATCTCTCCAGCCCCAATAATCTGGATTCTTCATTCTTGGTTTTTAAATTCTTTTGGAATCTGAAGAGTGGCAACATGTTTGTAACATTAGCTTGTTATTCAAGTTCTCTCTCAAAGCAGCTTTGAAAATAATGAACTGAATCCTACTGATCCATCAACCTACTGGGAGACAGTTCTCCAAGCATTAAAATGTGGTTACTCATTTTTACATTGGTTCCTGGGATCAGGTTGCAGGGCCATTTCCCAGTCTTTCCCACACAGCTGCTCACAGTCTCCCATCCTTGTTTACAAAATATTCTAGCAATCAAGATAGCCATAAAAATACTTCACTTGCTTTGGCTGGAAGTTTAAGGTAGCCAAATCCTAAAGAACAGCTGATAGAAAGAGTACACTCAGCCTTCTGAATTTGGTCCTCACTTATTCATGTTCCTTTGAAAAGGACTGTTTGAACAGTAATCTGAAAGTTAGGGAGTTAATTAACCTAGTTTAATTTCTGTTTTTAATAAAATACGGACAAAACCCAACCTATGACAAAAAGGTTTTAGCTCATCATTCCAGGTCATATTCCATTGTGGCAGGGAAGTAAAGGCAGCAGGAATGTAAAATAGCTGGTCACATCACAGCCACAGTCAGAAGAAGAGATGAGCACACACGTGCTTAGTGCTCAGCTCGCTTTTCTATTCTAGGACCCCAGTTGGGGAAGGGTGCCTCTCACTTTCAGGCTGAGTCTCCCCACATCAGTCAAGACAGTCATGCCTCACAAACCAACCTGACCTAGACAGTCCTCATTGAGACTCTCTTCCCAAGTGATCCCAGGTTGTGTCAAGCTGACTATTAAAAGTAACCATCACAGTAGCTAATAGGTATGCAAGACTGTGAACTTATAATAAGAGGATTAGTTAACCTAGAGAATGTCATAACATATCTACTAGCATCTGCTAATAAATTTGGTGTACTTATTTAGAATAGTTCATAACATGTGAATGTTGTACTTGGAGAAAATTTATTTTCTTTTATATTAATTGACCTGAAATCTTGTGAGTAGGTAAACCAAAGGGTCATGCTTTTGTTTCTAATGGTTTCCAAATGAAAAATTCATCTATTCAGCGGTATGCTTTACTGGGCCATTTTATCCATTATATAATTAATATTTGGACAAAACTGTACAGATTATAAGCAGTTTTATATATTCTGTTCCTTTTAGGTTTTAAAAACACATGAAGAAGTAGGTACAATTATTTTGATTTTATGCTTTTTCAAGAATCATAAAATTTTATCTGAGGTTAAAAGACATGGCCAGATCTGAAACTCTACTAACCTCTCAGGATATACCATCTACCACTAATATTTTATAAGTATCTTTGGGTATAACAAAGCAGACTGATAGGCTATCATTCCTTTGAAAATACTGATTAAAATTTAAATTTATTCCTCAGTTCCATCTCTCTTATGCAGAGAAAGAATTGTTGGAGAGAGAGCCAAGAGGAGAAGCCCACCAGGAAGTTCTTAGGCGAGCTGCCAGAGACCTCCCCATCTATACCAGGACCATGTCTGGAGGTAAGCGTTGATAATGGAACAGCATCCAAACAATGTGTTGTCGTGACTCTCAGAAAGCGTGTTCATATTCATGAGCTGTCACTCAATTGAAAGTGCTGTGCTGTTTCTTGGGTTGCTATTAAATCTTTCCTGTGCAATTCCATAAAACAAGGGAAACATGAGTCACACCATGGCACGGAACTCTCAGAACTGACTCTAGTGCTATTCCTCCTACTTTGTCGTGACTTGGTGATGATGGAAGAACTTCCTTAGTTGGGATCTGTAGAAGATTCATTTCCAAATTTTTAACTATAGATTCTCCTATTTTTCATGTAAGGGAGCAATATCTGCAATAACTATCAAGCTAATAACATTGCAAGTATTTTCCTAAGTTTTAAGCACTGATTATGTAAATTATGTAAAACATAATTTAGATATTGGAATCTATCTTTGAAATGGAAACTATTATACAAATAAGCTAAATAACAGAATGCTTACTTGGCTTATTTAAGGTAATTTAACATCTAATTAAGCCATTGTTTTAAAAGCCAACACACATGAATTATTGATGCTTGTCACCAAGACTTACCCAGACAGTTTTTGTGGCTTTAAACCTCTGCCTGCACATTGTAATTCATTAGCTCATTTGGCTGTGGTCAAGTTGAGATATCTTTAAATATATGGTACACAAATGCTTTCAAAGATCTAGCATGAAAAAATAATGTGAAATGCCTCATTAATATTGTTATATAATTTATATTTGCTTTAAGCTAACTTTAGAACCATAATTGAATATAAATATCATACCGTTTTTATCCTGTTTGTTTTTACCATTTGTTGGTGGATCCTGTTAGAGGTTTGTGTAGTAAAGTAACATCTCTAAACCAGTCTTCCAGATGGTCTTTACTGTCTGTAGTATTGAAGAAAAAACAATACTTTCATTTGCAAGAACTAAAATTCTCTATTGGTAGCATTCCTAATCTTTCATCACGATCAGCAGAGATGTGATGTCTTTTCCAGTTGAAGCAACTGAGTTTGCTTACACCTTTCTAGAATGTGTCTCTATGGTATATCTTCACCTAGTTATGCACCGGAAATAAACTGATTTTAGTTGAGGAAAACTTTCTGTCTACTTCAGGAGAAATAAACATAGCTTACCTTTGTGAGACTTGCTATAACTGAGAATGCCTTGCAGAGATTTCCACAAAGAGTCTTCTGTTCTCAGGAAACCTCTCCAGAGAAATCTGTCTCTAGACAAGTGTTCTCATTCTCTGTGTTTAAACAGGGTTGAATATCTTGTTTTCAGCAAAGTTAAATTCAGTATGCTTTTTGTAATTTAAATTTGGAGAAATAATAAAAAGCCATTTAGTTATATTTTCAATTACATGTTAAGTTTAAGACTAAGTGGAACTTTTTGTTCCTAGCAATCCGATATTGTGACAGATGCCAACTTATAAAACCGGACCGCTGCCATCACTGCTCCGTCTGTGACAAGTAAGGAAACCTTTGCTTCTCAAATATCTACCAACTGGTGGTCTTTTGTTTAGTATCATTTTACTGTTTTCCAGATTATTATCATTTTCCTTATTCATGCTTCAGATAACTACTTGGAAACATAAGTGGAATTATTACTTGCATTAATAGCAATGTAGCTTATGGCCACAATTAATTACCCCTTCCCCCAGATTCATGGTGACACAAAGTGCAGGAGTTTAAGAAATTTCTACTTGGGTAGTTTAAGTTAGCAGATGACAGTTCTGTGAGTGTTCTCCATTTTTATAAAGACAACTCAATTGACTTTATGTACTCATATATTACCATATATTTAATATATAACATGAACATTAGATTTGTCTTATACAGTGATATTAAAGAGTAAATTTTATACAGACTTCATGTAAGTCTATTAGAGTTTTGCACTTTTTAATGCAAGGTATATTAACACACTTTTAATGTGTGTTAATATATTACACTCTCTTTAGAAAAATTGATTTGCATCTTAAAGAATGTACATTTTAGCCAGGCATGGTGGTCCATGCCTTTAATCCCAGCACTCGGGAGACAGAGGCAGGCGGATCTCTGTGAGTTCAAGGCCAGCCTGGTCTACATAGTGAGTTCCAGGACAGCTGGAGCTACAGGGAGACCCTGTCTCAAAAAGACCCGCCCCCCAAAAAAGAATGTACATTTTAATTTGAAGTTTTATTATTCTGTCATAACTGGAAGCAACTGCAGTATTTCAGATGATAATGTCTGCTGTTACTCAGTTTTACATAAGTAATTTTGTAGTAGTTTACATGACACAAGTATTAAAAATAAGATTTTGTATTTTCTTTCTATAACTGAGTTGATTGAACTTCATGAGATATTGTGTTTCATTTTTCATGGGTGTTTTAGGTGTGTTTTGAAGATGGATCATCACTGCCCATGGTGCGTATGAATCCATATTGAAATATGTTTCTATCAGTTATCAATTTCAGATAAATGCCACTTCTTATAAATTGTGATAATAAAAAATGGAGGTAGAGACAATCAAGATTCATCCGAAGGTCAGTGCATATCATAACATTTGCCATCCCAGTGCTGTGTGCATAAACATACAAGAAGAGAAAATAATGCCTTACTGGTAGAGCAGTCTTTCTAAATCGGCATTAATTTGGCTGAATAAGAAACCTTAAGGATAATTTGGTAACCTTTCAAATTTTGACAGAGCCTATTAAACAAGTCAAAGAGAATATAAGACCATAATTTAAAAAATATTTTATTTATTATTTTTGTGTATGAGTATATTGCCTACATGTATGTGAGTGCACCCGTGTCATGCAATGCCGCAGAAGTCAGAAGAGGGCTTCGGATTCCCCTGGAACTGGAGTTAAGGATGGTTCATAGCTGCCATGTGGGTGCTGGGAATCAAACACGGGTCTTCTGCAAGAGCAGTTAGTGCTCTTAACTGCTGAGCCATCTCTCCAGCCCCAAGACTGTAATTTTTACACAATAGGCTCCCTTTAGAGGCAATGTGAAAGAAGTCTATTGAACTGCCTTCATCCTGCTCTTTTGTCTCCCATACCGTCACTTCTGTTCCCACCGCCATCTCAGTTCTGGGCACTCCCTGCAGAGATCAGTAGCCTTATCACTATGTGAAGGAGCTGGTGCCCGGGCTCTCATATGCAGCTGGCACCAGCTCCTTGGAGTAGCTATTTTTTTAATGTTTAGATTAAAGAGCTGGGTGTCTATCTTAGTAGTAGAGTGCTTACCTAGTGTGCATGAGGCATTGGGCTCAACTCCTCTCCTAGCAGCACACAAAAAATTAAGAATTAAAAAAATTTATAGTCCTAGGGATAGATCTCAGTAGTGGAGCACATGCCTAATATGTGTTGAGCTCTGTTTAATCCCCAGTACCTCCTCCCCAAGAAGGTATAGGTTATGTATAGTGTGACTCTAAAGTTCAAAAGTAAAAGCAGTGGAACTGGAGAGACGGCTCAGTGGTTGAGAATGTGTACTGTAGAGCTGGAGAGATGGCTCAGTGGTTGAGAATGTATACTGTAGGCTGGAGAGATGGCTCAGTAGTTCAGAGTGTATACTGTAGGCTGAAGAGATGGCTCAGTGCTTGAGAGTGTGTACTGTAGGGCTGGAGGGATGGCTCTGGTTGAGAGTGTATACTGTAGGGCCAGAGAGACAGCTTAGAGTATATAATATAGGGCCAGAAAGATGGCTTAGTGGTTGAGTATGTACTGTAGGGCTGGAGAGATCAGCAGTTAAGAACACTGGTTGCTCCTACAGAGGACCCAGGTTCAGTTCCCAGCTTCCACTGGCCGCTAGCAAACATCTGCAATTCCAGTTCCAGAGAACTCTGATGGATGTCCTCTTCTGGTTTCCACAGGCATTGCACAACACAGGTGCACTTACATATATGCAGGCAAAACAATCATCCACATAAAATTAAAATTTGTAAAATTTATAAAACATATAAAGTCAGTGAACATGTCTTCTTTTCCTTTTTTCTACCTCTTCCCTTCTCATAGAGAACCAGAGTGCCTAGTCTATATAGTAAGTTCAAAGGCAGACAGATCTACATAGTGAGACCCTGATTCAAAAATTAAAACAAGGCAAAAATTACAGCTATTATGTGAATATAGTTTATTAAAGGACTTTTTGGATATTGCCAAACTACATAGTGAACTTTTTACACAGATTTTCTGTATGGTTTTGGACTTTAGAGTCCAAAACTCATGTCAACTCTGAGCATTTGAAATGTTAGATAAATAGTGCTTCTCTGTACATCCGCACCTCCCTGCAATTTGCATATTTGCTTGGGCCCTTGAACTTATCCACCAGAATTCAGGAGACCAATCTCACACTTGTTATTTTAAATAAAAGGGAATTTCTATAGTGTTTATTTTAGTGGATTTTTCTATTCAAGAGGTGTTTTCCTTTTAGAATAAAATTTTAAGTAAATGTATTTATAATACTTTGGTATGCTTGCCTAAGTTAGGTAACTTACATAAAAGTAAATAATTTAGATTCAGTTTATTGAGTGCCCAAGTTATTTTAAATACCTTATAAAAAATCTGTTATCCTTATACCAATGACAGAAAGTCATTATATAGAAAGTGTAAATGATTTGTCTCATTTTAATTTATGTTTATTTTATGTGTATGAGTATTTTGCTTGCATGTATATACGTGCATCACATGCATACAATGCCAGTGGAGGCCAGAGGAGGGTGTTGTATCCCCTAGAACTGGAGTTACAGATAGCTGCCATATCCAGGGTCCTTTGCAAAAGCAGTTGATTTTTTGTTTGCTTGTTTGGGGGGGGTTGTTTTTTGTTTTTTGGGATTTGAAAGACTACCTTCTTTCCAATATATTACACTCTCTTTCCTGTTTAGATTCTGAAAGCAATTGCTGTGAAACAGAGTCCACACTGTGTTTTATGCTGAACTAAAACAACGTAACATAGAATGTGTGGTTTCTGCAGAGACAGTCATTCCTTTTCTAGATGTGAAACTGAATCTACAGTAGGCAGTTAAAATATCTAACCAAAAGATGTCTGTTCATTAACATATAATTCATGTTAAATGCTGTTATCCTGTTCCCTTTCTAAACATACATGTCAAGCCTTCCATATATCCGAAATACTTGGTCTTGATTCATTGACTTTCTGTGTTTCCTGGTTCCTACTTGGGAAATTGCCCTAGTGATCTTAAATAAGAGTTAAAATAAATCAGTTTGTTAGAAAACCTGATCAAAATCATTTTCTTTCTATAAAAACATTCTTCATCATTTAAATTCCTTCCTACATCACTATAGAGAGGCAGCTTGTCCTAGAAATTCTCCCAGTTCATAAGCGCCTTTTTTTAAATGTGTGTATGAATGTATTGCCTGCATGCATGTAAGTGCACTCATGTAGTGTAATGCCTGCAGAGGTCAGAAGAGGGTGTCAGATTCCCTGGAACTGGAGTTAGGATGGTTGTTAGCCTCCATGTGGATGTTGGGAATGGAATCCCAATCCTCTGCAAGAACAGCCAGTGCTCTTAATAGCGGAGCCATCTCTCCAGCCTGGGTAAGCACCATTCTTTACACCCACATTGCCTAAATTCTTGCAGCATCCCACCATTATTTACCCACTCTATTCTCTTTCTCTGTCTCTCCGTCTCTCTCTCTATCTTTCTCACTCCCCCCCCCTTTTTTTTTGGTCTTTTTGAGAGAGTCTCCCTGTAGTCACATCTGGCCTGGAACTCAATATGTAGACCAGGCTGGCCTTGAACTCACAGAGATCCCCCTGCCTCTGCCTCCTGAGTACTGGGATTAAAGGCATGCACCACCACCAGCCACTCTATCTATCCTCTTGAAACCAACACTAGTAGCAAAGGCAATATCGCATGTCCTTTTGAGAAAGAGTACATGTAGAGAAAGCTTACACAGAACTGTTCCAATATTATTTTTTGCCATTATTTCATTCCAGTGTCATAAAAAGTAATGTCAGCAATCAGTCTGCATTCCCACTGAAAACTATAGAGCTGAAGATACTGTTAGCATATAATGTGCATCTGTAATTTTTCATTTATGAATTGCTTTCCCATGAAGAACGTCCTTCAGTTCAAAAATTACTAATAAACTGTTGTTTTCTTTACCTTGTGTTTTGTAAGTTAGAAAATGGAAACAGTTTTATTGTTAAAATCAAGAAAGGAAAATAGGGGCTGGAGAGATGTTTCAGCGGTTAAGAGTACTGACTGCTCTCACAGAGGACCTGGGCTCCCAGCACCCATATGGTGGCTAACAACCGTCTGTAACCTCAATTCCACGGGATCCAATGCCCTCTTCTGACCTCCAAGGGCACTGCACAATACAGGTGCACTTACATGCAGGCAATATACTCATACACATAAAATAATAAATAAAATTTAAAAAGAAGGAAAACATTTCATATGTTACTAGGGTCAATAGAGACAGATTATTTTACTGACTCTGAAGTAGGGATAAAGAAGTGTGAGGAGGGGAACAGTAGGCGGATGTTCTATGCAGAAGGTATATTATACAAGCTAACAATGAGTTAACTACATCATTTATATCAGCCAGTTCAACCGGGCTTGATGACATTTATACAAAGTCATTAAGTAATGTTCTTGCCTTATGAAAAGGAGAAGAATTAGAGAAAATAACTATGAAATGAATTATATTCACATTCGTGTTGATCCATATGATCGTTGTAATTTGCCCTCCCCTATCTGTCAAATAATAATTTTAGATTAGGAACTGAGGATTCATATTTTTCCATATTTGGAGTCATAGAATGTAGAGCTGGATTTCAGAATGATTTGAGTACTTATTTTCAGGTAAGGAATATGAAGTTCTAATAGTCTGTTTCACTTCCTTAGAGTCACATGGTTACCTAATGTGAAATGTGCATAGCAACTGTCTGCCTGTCTCCCACTCCTTTTCTTAAACCTCCCATATAATCCACTTTGATGACTGGGTGCCTCCATAATGACGTGCAGGGAGAGGTCTGTGAAAGTCCTTCATCTAATTTGGGAAAACTTAAAAGGCTTTAGCTTATTTAACCATAGTTGGAAATAGAATCCAGAGACAGCATAGGGATGGAATTTAGCAAATTCTCTTAATCAGACTGACTTCACTAGGTCTCTCAAAATCTCTTTGCCTTTAGATTGTATTTATTTAAATAAGTAATTGCTTATGAGATATAGTTACATTAAGTATGGTTGATTAAAACAATATTAAATATCATGCATTGAAAATCTAAACACAGAAATTTCTTTTTGTTGTTTACATATGTATGAACATTGTATGGCTTCTACTGAATGAAATAATAATGAATTTAAAATGAGAGTAAACTGAATACTATGCTGTGTTTAAACACTTTTTTCCTAGGCTGAAGATGTAAAACTCATTGAAACTATTTTTGTTTTGTTGGCAGGGTGAACAATTGCGTTGGATTTTCAAATTATAAATTCTTCCTCCTCTTCCTGGCTTATTCCCTGCTGTACTGCCTTTTTATTGCGGCCACAGATTTACAGTATTTTATCAGATTTTGGACAGTAAGTCATTGCTTTAGTGACCTTTCTTTAGTATGAAAATAGATTTTTCATTAGTGAATTATTTCAGATACCAACTTTGTAGGGTTGCTCTGTGCAGTCAGTCCTCATTATTCACTGTCAGTCTGTATCTGTTCATTCACCTTCTCGACATTCATTCGTAACCTCCCAGTTGGTGTACTCAGAGCTTTTATAGTTGTTCCCAGGCACCTACAGAAAAGCAAAATTTCTGCACACCGCATGTATGTATTCTAACTTGTAACAAGGCATTGATCTGCCGCTGATCTTGTCTCAGCTTGTATCCTGTACAGGTGTGTTCCCCAGTCTGTTTTTTTCCTTTTTTTTTTTTTTTGTAGTTCTGTGCTTTTTTTTTGGTTTTGCAACATAAAATAGTCTTCAGACATACTATGAGATTGATATGTCTTATGGAGAAATCACACGTGGTAGATAAAGTTCATCCTGGCATGAATGATAGTGCTGTTGTTCAAAAGTTCCGTATTGATGAGTCAACACCATATGTTAATTAAGGAGAACTTAGACAAGTTATGAGCTGGTCAGTAGATGAAGATGGCATAAGAGGCTTGCAGGAAACCAACCCTGTGTTTCCCTGAGATTCAGTCCTCAGACTGTCTGTTCAAGGCAACCTTCTGGAACATAACTACTACAGATAACAAGAATAGCCTGGATAAACTCATTTTTTTTTCTTTAGCATTTAAAAATTGAAATGTTTTCTCCTCATGTATATAAGATTTTTTTTGAACTATTTTGTTTTTAATGTCCTGAATTTTTATTACATATTCCTTGAGTATACTTTCGATAACTCATTTTTCTGCACAAAATATAAATATTTAATTTTTATTGATTTTTATTTTATGTGTATGAGTATTTGCCTGCATGTATGTAAATGCACCACATGTGTATGATGCCTGCAGAGGCCAGAAGAGGGTGTTGGATCCTCTAGAACTGGTTTTTAGCCACCATATTGGTGCTGAGAACCAAACTGGAGTCCTTGGCAAGAGCAGCCAGTGCTCTTAAGCATTGAGCCACCTCTCCAGCCCTCATGCACTATATATTTTAAATCAAAGCCAAATAAAATTACAAATAGAGTATGTAAAATACCCAAAGACATTCCCTATGAACATGAAATGATGATAAAAATAAATTATCCCAGCCAGGCATGGTGGCGCATGCTTTTAATCCCAGCACTTGGGAGGCAGAGGCAGGCGGATCTTTGTGAGTTCAAGGCCAGCCTGGTCTACATAGTGAGTTTCAGGACAGCTGGGGCTACAGAGAGACCCTGTCTCAAAAAGACCAAAGAAAAAGAAAGTAAATTATCCCTTGCCACCACACCCGGCTCATATTATCTTTTTTTAATAGCAGAGTTTTCTGAATTGCTGAGTCATTATATGAGACTTGAACCAATTTAACACCAAAGAGTTATTGAATGCTTCCTATGTGCTGATTACATTGCTAGGACCAGGAGGACACAGGTGGGTGCATGTGCTTCTAGCATCTGAAGATACTTCTAGACTCATTTGGGGTGAAGAATGATCCCTACTGAGTGTCGGGAGAATAGAACCTCACTGCCCCTCATTCCTGTGGACGTTTTTCATTCCAAACCACAAATGCATCTGAACAGGGGAGTTCCTGCTGTGCAAACCTTACAGTCAAAAGTTGCCAGTTGATGTCTGTTCTAAGTTGAACTGGAACTCTAGCTCCAGGAAATCTGATGCCCTCTTCTGGTCTCTATAGGCAGGGAACATACATGGCACACATTCACACATACACACATACACATAAATAAAAATATGTCTTTAAAAAAAGTAGGGCAATGTTTTAATTCCACAAAGTCACTAATTTGGGTTAGTTATAAAATCACACCATTTTGTGTGTGTGTGTGTGTGTGTGTGTGTGGTAAGGAGCTCAAGTTCTCCATTATCAGCTTTATTTTTGTGACTATAGTGTCACATTCTTGCATATGTTAAAGACTTTTATATTTGGTGTGTTCTAATTAACCTTTTTCTAACTTCCAACACTAAGTATACTCTCCTAATAAACGTTACTGTTGTTTTTGTGTGTCAAAAAAAAAATAAAAGTTGCCAGTTGAGATCCTGTCTCCTTGTCACTCCAGGGAACTGAAATGCTGTGCCCTTGTCAGAAGGGGCTGCCATTGGCAGTTCAGGTGTTTCACTGAGTGTCGGGCCTCAAGCCCTTTGTTCTAGAACCAGTCCAGCTGTCTTGGACGTATGAACAGTGAGGGTCAAACAGGTTTTGTCGAGCTGGCCATTTTCAGCCCTGTGTGTATTAAAACATGCAGACAGGTGTTATTCACTCATGTTGATCTTTTTTATGATGCTGTCATTAAGCAAGCTTAAAGCATTATTATGGATTGTACCTCGTGTATTTTTTTAGTTGATGCTACTGTTTGTAGTCATCTAAAGCATCAATGAGAATAGTAACTAAATTATGACAATTATCCTTCATTTTCTGGCATTATAATTGATATCATTTAAATGATAGTGGATATGTCATACGGTATTCAGGGAGTAATTTAAAACTACATTTTATAGTTTCTTTTATCTTGCTTCCTACTGTTACAGTTTATGCTGCCATGTTTTCTCTGGGATTTGGATTTAATTATACAAAACAAAATAGATATCCCAATTTTAATCTTTTCTAAAACATTCATATTTTTCATATACCACCATATATTTAATTTAATATGAAATACATATTTACTTTTTCTCTTTAATTTTTACATGAAACTTTGTGTCATTTTCCATCTCTAAATTTAAGGAAAAAATTAAAGAAAATATCTTACTAGTTTACTTAGAAAAGTAAGGGAATATTCCTTTGAAAAAACATTTTATTTTCTTCCTTTCTTTATAGAATGGCCTACCTGATACTCAAGCCAAGTTCCATATTATGTTTTTATTCTTTGCTGCAGCTATGTTTTCTGTCAGCTTGTCTTCTCTGTTTGGTTATCATTGTTGGCTAGTCAGCAAAAATAAATCTACGTTAGGTGAGTATCCAGTTACTGTAGTGGACAGAACTGTAAATACATAAGTGTTACTTACTGAAAGTTTCCATATGATTAAATTTCAACTAAAAAGAAAAAAAAAAAAAAAAAAAAAAAAAAAAAAACCTTATTTTCCTCATGTTTTGTAGAACATTATGTAGACACATACAGGTCTGTACATTCCTTTCATATATTAATTGACTATGCATTATGTACAAAGCATTCTGTGTACCAAGTGGTAAGCAAAGGAAAAGTAGTCTGTTGGGGCACATACAGGCAGTACCCACACTAAAAGTAATTGTAAAATGCAAAGGACTTTGAAGAAACACAGAGGCTGCTGAAGTAAGGTAACAGGACTAGAGCTGATGGAAGGGAATCCATTTTGAAGGGGAAGATTTCACCATACAAAGAAGTACTTAATCTGAGCAGTCACCCATAGAGAGAGTCAGAACATCTTAAACACAGAAAATGGCATGTTCTAAAGCTACACAGACAAGATATGATGATCAGTGTTCATTGTCAGCCTGGCAGACACTGGAATCAGCTGGGAGATGGGCCTCTGAGTGTGCAGACATGCCTGTGGGAGATTATCTTGATTACCTTAGCTGTGATGGGAGGACTGCACATTCCCTGACTGGGATCCTGGACTGTGTAACTGGAGAAAAGGAACTATGTGTAGCATGCATTCACTCTTCTCTTCTGACTGTGAATATACTGTGACCAGCTGCTTCAAGCCCCTTCTGCTGTGACTTCCCTGCCATGATGGACTGTGCCCTGGAACCCTTTCTCCTTTAAGTTGCTTTTGTCAGAGTATTTTATCACAGCAAAAGAAAAAGACCCTAAGACATAAGGGATATAGTGGGGCTTAGAGGGAAATGTACAGCTGTCAATATCTGAATTAAAATGAAGCATGGGCCAGAAAAAGAACAGGAGAGTAAGCCCAAAGTCAGCAGAAGGAAGAAAATAATGAAGAGAGGAGCTAATAGAAAGAAAAAGTTATGGAAAGTAAACGAAACCAGTGTTTGCTTTTTAAAAATACCAATGAGACCTGAGCGTGGTGGCGCACGCCTTTAATCCCAGCACTGGGGAGGCAGAGGCAGGCGAATTTCTGTGAGTTCAAGGCCAGCCTAGTCTACATAATGAGTTCCAGGACAGCTGGAGCTACAGGGACACCATCTCAAAAAGACAAAATTAAAAAAATAAATAAATAAAAAAAAAACAACGAATTTGAGGCGGCTTTGCTGGAAAGCAAAAAGGAAAGATTGACCAAATACAGAGGTGAAGGTGATGATATGACTGACCTAAGGAAGTGAAAGAGAGAGTAGTATGGAGTGCTGCACGCTGGGAGATTAGGCAGCCTCGATGTGAGGGAGCATTACTACAAACCAACCCCCAAGCTGGCTGAAGAAGACACGGGCTACCTAGCAAGATGCAGCCTAGAAAATTAAAAAATAAAGGCTTTATAAAAAGCTGTGCAGCCAGGCACAACAAAGGCTGAAGATCTTGTAATACCTCATTTTTCTTGGTACCTGACTTTGTTAGTTACATTTTGTTTTCAAAATGATGAACAAAAATCTTTATATTTCAAAGTGTGTTCATCTCCTAAAAATAAAATTTTAGAATTTGCCTTTCAGGATCATTCAAGAAGAAAACATGGCACTGCCAGAAGAACATGGATGGCCTTGTTGAAGTTCCATTTCTGCCATTTGTTTACATGTGATGTTGGCAGACTTCCAGTGCCTCTCTGGACCACACCTTTGATAAGCCGAACGGACATAAACAGATGTGCCTGTTTTTGGACTGGATCCTGGTTTGGGCAAGCTGGCTATCAAGTACATTTTTGGGCCATCTGGAAAAAAAAATTGTGATGAGATAAGATAAAAATGTCAATGAAATTTAAATGGAGTTTAAAGCACATTATACTCACATTTTGGTTTAAAATGTAGATTTAAATATTTCTATATTACTCAACATCCACCCATTTGTCAATTCAAGAGATCTGGAAGGTAGGCCTGCAAGGTGGCCCAGTGAGTAAAAGTGCTTGCCCAAAGCCTGCCAACCTGAGTTCCATTCTCACATCCCACATACAGGTCAAAGGAGAGAACCAGCTTCATGACTTTGTCCTCTGACTTCCACATGCACACCATGGCACATGCATCCCTCCAGTCTAAATGCACATGCACAATAATAGTAAATTTTCTAATTTTCTCCAGTGAACACGTAATCTTATCATAGTGAAAGGGTTATCTGAGAATTAAACAGACCTACTCGCATCTTAGTGATACTTTAAAACAGAAGAGATGACCTTATATCAAGGCTATTGATAGGCATATAGGTACTCTGGGGAGGTTGCCCAGTGGTTGTCAGAGTTTCCCCACTTCAGTTACTCTTGAGTATTAGGAATCAGTAGTGGATATGTTCTTTATGCATGTAATTTCTTCATCATCCCTTTAGAGGCATTCAGAAGTCCAGTATTTCGACATGGAACAGATAAGAATGGATTCAGCTTGGGTTTCAGCAAAAACATGCGGCAAGTTTTTGGTGATGAGAAGAAGTACTGGTTGCTACCCATTTTTTCAAGGTACGTTGTGCAAGTTTTCATGTTTCATTTAAACAAATGAAAATGAACAAAAGAGTTTGTATAAAGTCTCTTGTTCTGTAGGTCTGTGATTCTGCATAGGAACTTCTAAAGTATTTTGTGATTCACTGTTGTTTCAGTGTGAGGATCTGTTAACACACTGGTCCATAAATGTTGCCTATAACCTATTCTGTTCTTATTTTTAATTATAGTCTAGGTGATGGCTGTTCCTTTCCAACTTGCCTTGTTAACCAGGATGCTGAACAACCACCCACTCCTGCAGGACTGAATTCAACAGCTAAAAAGTAAGACAACCTCTTTTTCTGTTTGTTTTCAGGTAATGTATTGTATTCTGTTGGCTCTCTTGGCTCTATGTCCCTTTAAAGAAAAAAAATTCAAGGATATAGAGTAATTTACTATATTGCTTTCTACTTAGAGTGAGGGAGGAAAGAAAATATGACTTGGCAGGGATGCAGAGTAAATCCAAGTTATGTTCATAAAATCCTGTTAATAAAAGAAATCAAAATAAGATTCCTGTCTCCTCTTTCTGTGTCTTTCCTCTCTGGTAATATTTATTAAGGTTAGAGATAATTCCTTGAATTGGGCCTTTGGAGCTCAAATGGACCTCTAGGCATCCATCTGAAGATTCCAGCAATAATGTTCACTGTATTCTTCATGCTCTTGAAGAACTCTAAATCCTATCTGAATCTCTTTGTTTTTCAAAAAACAAAGGGAAAGGGGTCTTGAAAATTCACCTAGTAGAGACTTTTGCTCCAGCTTTTAGTTTGCTTTGATTCTAATCCTTCAACTATTTGAGAATAGCAACATAAAGAACTGAAATTTAATTCTGATTTTGCAACTAACCAGAAGGCAAAATTACTTGAGGCTTTCAAATTGCTATATAGGAATTTTCAATGGTTTCAAATACTAATTTTTATATCTTTATGACATCTCTAACTATTAAATGAAAATCAGTAACAAAAACATAGCCATAATATTATTCATTAAATTTTAGGGGCTTTCTTGTTGCTGTAATTAAAGATACACAGAACCCTTTATCCTGCACATATTTGTTATTTCCTATGGACTCAGCCTGGAGTGAGCCCAAAATTCTTTTCAAGATAGTGATCCTGGCAACTGTTCCAAAATCACACTGAGGTTTTAAAAGACATAAAACCTATTTGGCACACCATCTTTAGAGTGAGCTATGTGCTTGCCAAACTCTTCCAGTTGGTGAAGAGGCCATTCTGATACATTTCACAATGACATTCAAAAACATTAGAGCTGTTTCTCAGATCACAGTTGATCAGTTTTGCTTTGGAAATTACACAGTTAAATGTTAGTGGATTTTCTTATACTTGAATGGAAAAAAAACCCTAGTTTTAATAAATTATTTAGAATATGTTTTTGGACAAAATTTAATAGCAACTTGTGTTTAAATTGTTGACCCCTGTTCAGTGGTTTTTGTACCTTAAGAATCTGTAGGTTTTGGGGTTGGAAAGATGGCTCAGTGGTTAAGAACACTGACTGTTCTTGGAGAAGACCTGGGTTTGAATCCCAGCACCCACATGGCAGCTAACAACTGTTCGTAACCCTAGTTCCAGGGGATCTGACAGCCTCTTCTGTCCTCGCGGGCATTGCATGACACAGGTGCACTTACCTACATGCAGGCATAACACTCCATCTGTAGGTTTTAGAGGCAGTATCTTCTCCTTTTTCTAGATACCATAAGGTTTAGGAAAAGTCTTGCTTCTGGAACCATTACTCAGCTAAGTGAACTCAGCTAAGCAGAGTAGCCTCTCTAGACATCTTTTCTGTTTAAATGTTGAGGTTGAATTTGAACAACTAAAGAGGGCCCTGGGTTAGAGGCCATCTTGAGCTATAAAACAAGTTCAACACTAACTTGCCACTACATAGAGAGACTGTCTCAAAATCAAAGGCTGGAGGTATGGAATAGCGATTGATTTCATGCCTAACGTGTGTGCAAGGCCCTGGGATGGATCGCCAGAACTGCAGAAGTAAACTCTATTTAAATTTGTCCTATTTATAAATGAATATCTTATCACACCATCCCTTGCCATGTAGATAATTTCAATAAGTTCCTAACTGGTCCATTTTTGCCTTCACTTCAGTCTTTTCTCCATTAAGAATATAAATCAGCTGGGCATGGTGGTGCACACATTTAATCCCAGCACTTGGGAGGCTGAGGCAGGCACATCGAGGCCAGCCTGGTCTACATAGGGAGTACCAGACCAGCTGAGGTCACAGCCCTGTCTCAAAAAACAAAAAGTGTGTGTGTGTGTGTGTGTGTGTGTGTGTATGTAAATCAGATTGTGTTAGTCTTTGAGTTTTTTAGTCTTTTGCTTAGAGCTCGGCAGTAGTATTATACATAGCAAAAGCTAATGAATGTGCTTACCTGGTCTATGACAATTTCCGAGCTGACCTAAATCCTCTACAGTGTCTTTTCTTATTGTTTTCTCATAATTTCCAATCCACAGACACCAAGATCTTTTTGCTGTTCCTAAATATACCAAGCATGTTCTGTATTTAGTGCCTTTGTACTTACGAGTTCCTGCTTCTGCTCAGGTGTGACTGCCCATGGGGAACCATCTTTTGGGGGAAAGTAGGGAGTCAGACAGGGTTTCATGTAGCTCAGGGTGGCTTCAGACTTGCTGTGTCACTGATGATGGCCTTGAACTCCTGACCTTCTTGCCTCTACCTGTTCCCCAGCGCTGGGATTGGAGGCATATGTTACTATGCCCAGTGCATGAGAAGCCATCTTTGATAAACTTTGGAAAGGGTAGCCTGCTCTTGTGCTTCCTATACAGTTTTCTTTTTATAGACCTTATTGTAATCTGACATGTATGTAGTATTTTTCCTTATTTAATGATAAAATTTCTGTATGAAGGCTCAATTCATTTATATATTACATGTATAATAAATATTGCTACATGATTGGATCTCTGTCATTGTTAGAACCTATTAGGAGTATGGAATTCTCTAAGAGTCCCTCAACTAGTAGCTAATTAGAATGCTGTACCTGTTCTATCATTCCTTTCCTGAGGAATAAGAATTAAAGTAAAAATATTATTTTACATATGAATAAATATAAGCCTGAATGGGCATACTTTTTAAAATATTTTCCCACCTTCAAAATTTTAATAAG